TGCAGCTTAAGAATAGCTAGAAAGAATTTCGACGCGGTCCGTGAGGGCCGCGGTAGCATAATTGGTCAGTGCATTCGCCCGGATTGCGAAGGGTGCGGGTTCGAGTCCCGTCTGCTGCCTGGTCCGCGTGGAATTTTTTCTAGTTATATTTTCTTTAGATTTAAACATCAAGCAGTTACATGCTTTAAAAATAATAAAAATTATAACTATAATTGCTATTTCTTCTTTCAAATGTTTAATACTTGTAAAAGTATTCATTTGACATTGTGGGTTTACCTATAATGCGAAGAGATGGCGCTGCCTTGCAGCTTAAGAATAGCTAGAAAGAATTTCGACGCGGTCCGTGAGGGCCGCGGTAGCATAATTGGTCAGTGCATTCGCCCGGATTGCGAAGGGTGCGGGTTCGAGTCCCGTCTGCTGCCTGGTCCGCGTGGAATTTTTTCTAGTTATATTTTCTTTAGATTTAAACATCAAGCAGTTACATGCTTTAAAAATAATAAAAATTATAACTATAATTGCTATTTCTTCTTTCAAATGTTTAATACTTGTAAAAGTATTCATTTGACATTGTGGGTTTACCTATAATGCGAAGAGATGGCGCTGCCTTGCAGCTTAAGAATAGCTAGAAAGAATTTCGACGCGGTCCGTGAGGGCCGCGGTAGCATAATTGGTCAGTGCATTCGCCCGGATTGCGAAGGGTGCGGGTTCGAGTCCCGTCTGCTGCCTGGTCCGCGTGGAATTTTTTCTAGTTATATTTTCTTTAGATTTAAACATCAAGCAGTTACATGCTTTAAAAATAATAAAAATTATAACTATAATTGCTATTTCTTCTTTCAAATGTTTAATACTTGTAAAAGTATTCATTTGACATTGTGGGTTTACCTATAATGCGAAGAGATGGCGCTGCCTTGCAGCTTAAGAATAGCTAGAAAGAATTTCGACGCGGTCCGTGAGGGCCGCGGTAGCATAATTGGTCAGTGCATTCGCCCGGATTGCGAAGGGTGCGGGTTCGAGTCCCGTCTGCTGCCTGGTCCGCGTGGAATTTTTTCTAGTTATATTTTCTTTAGATTTAAACATCAAGCAGTTACATGCTTTAAAAATAATAAAAATTATAACTATAATTGCTATTTCTTCTTTCAAATGTTTAATACTTGTAAAAGTATTCATTTGACATTGTGGGTTTACCTATAATGCGAAGAGATGGCGCTGCCTTGCAGCTTAAGAATAGCTAGAAAGAATTTCGACGCGGTCCGTGAGGGCCGCGGTAGCATAATTGGTCAGTGCATTCGCCCGGATTGCGAAGGGTGCGGGTTCGAGTCCCGTCTGCTGCCTGGTCCGCGTGGAATTTTTTCTAGTTATATTTTCTTTAGATTTAAACATCAAGCAGTTACATGCTTTAAAAATAATAAAAATTATAGTAATAAATAGTTTAAATTCTTATATCATTTTTTACTTATCATATCAACTCTAGGTGTACCGTACAGGTCCAAATGTTATAATATTGATAAATCGGTTATAAATAATTTAATTCTCATCCAAGTTGTTTTAATTTGTCAAGTTTAATATTTAACTCATTATTAAATAAAACTAGTTTTTACGGGTTAATGCACGAAACTTTATTTATTTATTGACGTTTCGTAGCCTTTACAGGCTTCGTCGTCAGAATAAAACTTTTATTTAATTTATTTGTCAAAAGTTTTATTCTGACGACGAAGCCTGTAAAGGCTACGAAACGTCAATAAATAAATAAAGTTTCGTGCATTAACCCGTAAAAACTAGTTTTATTTAATGAGTGATGTGCGTGAAAACCTAAGAAACAAATAACTCATTATTTGCAATTTTACGGTATCACTCTGAAGTTTTGACAGATTGACTCAACCTAATTACACGTCAACCTGTGTTGACCATGTATTGAATTGCTGTATTAACCATATACCCAGATCTACAGACCCTTTAAGCTGTGAAAAAAAAACTACTGAATTAACGTAAAAAAGCGATACGACTGTTTATGTTGCGTAGGTACCTATGAATTTGTACGGGATCTTCCGTGGGCGAGTCCGAATCGCACTTGCCGGGTTTATTAATTCAATCGCAAAAAATATAATTATGTTTGTAGTTTCCCAAAAGAGGAGAAATGAGACAAAAATGGATTAACGGTGTGCATGTGAAGTGGAAAGTCACCAAAAACTTTGTTGAATGTAGCCTCCACTTTCAACATTTCATAAAAGTAATACCATGGTATTTTACCTTTACTGCAGTCAATTAAAAGAAACCTGTTACAAAACGAAATACTTTCGTAATGCTTATTAAACTAGTTGCGTTATTTACTCGAGTAAAATCCTCGCTATTTGCTACTCTTTTACGAAATAGGCCCCAAAAGATTTATACCTACTTAATTCCCAAAAAAAAGTAATGGTTATCCCATTTAGAAAGAGACAAAGCCCTCTCTCATTATCTCTGACTCTGACCGTTTTAAGAGTAAAGGTACGCAGTCCTGTTTTAAATAATAAGTCCATGTTAAAATCACAATGCTTGCTGCTAAATGTAGTCTTTTTTTAGGTTTCTCCCTTTCCAAGTAAGGCAAAGGGAACAATGCCCATACAGCCAAGTCTTTAGTTTAATTAATCTTTGTTTTTATATATTAGAATTTTATGAAGGTGTTGATAAAAAAAAACTCAGCTGTAATTATTATTAAAACAGCAAATTCAACTTGTCAATTCACTACGCCTCCGGTATTTCTTTCCTGTAAACAAATAACAACAACAATGGATAGAAAAGATTATTTAAGAGGTACGGCATACACTGGTCCGGATTTTGAAAAAAGTGGACATTGGAAATATACGTATTTAAAAAACAACTATGAGATAGTAGTAATGAAACAGAAGGAAAAATAATAATGAAATATTTTAATTTTGAAACCCCCTCAAAGGCAGAACTGCGCGTGACCACTAGGTATTTTAATTGATATGTGTTCAGAAAACGGAGTTCTAAACACTGTATTGGTTAAACTTCAACAGCTCATGACAGTCTCGAGAAAAAAAATATCTCCTATACATTTTTTTTTCAATTTTTTTTTTATATATGAATGACGCATTTTTATGAAAAGTTGCATATAACATTTATTGTTCTGTTTTATTAGTACTATGTAATAGTATTTCGTAAAACCGTATATTTCCAATGTCTACTTTTTTCAAAATCCGGACCAGTATGCGGCATAGCGAATTCCCCTCTACAATTTTAACGCCCGTCTGGGGAAGAAACTTTACAGAATTTTAAGACCACGGTAAAATTTTGGTGGTGTTTTAACTCTGTCGTGAGTAGGTTCCAGGGCTCCAAGGGGTAGGGGATTGGGTCAGGGTAGGCAGCGGTGCAAGTGAGATTTTTGGTATCGCAAGTGTCTATAGTCTATGGTGTCTGCTTATCATCAGGCCGGCCATACGATTTATTGTCACTTTTTTCATGAAAAATATTTAACCCCAGTGATAATATAAATAAAAAATAAATATATAGTAAATGACTAAGATTTTTAAATATAATTTATTTATTTTTTTGGACACAAGTCCTTTATAAATAAAAAGAAAAAAAATAATAGTATTCCCAGATTTCGATCAATTTATAGAAACTTTGCAGCTGCACACGAAAATCCATAAAAGACTACTATTTCCATTTTATTTCATCATCACCAGCCTATTATTGCTCCTGTTAATGAGGCACAGGTCTTCCCTTTGGATGGATTAGGGAGATTGGGCCACTCACCACGCGGGCTCAGTGCGGATTGGTGTAAGCTAACGACTGCAGATGCAGCCGGAACTAACGGCTTAACGTGCCTTCTGAAGAACTGAGGAGCTCGAGATGATAGGTTTTGGTTACCCATCTAATGACCGACCATTGCCAAAGTTGCTTAACTTCCACGATCGCAAGGCCAACGCCAATTTTTTTTTACTCACACATACTATTCCTTTTTATTTATTTATATTAGTAGATACGAAAATGCCATATCCACTTTGAAATCTTTATACTTACCGACTATACCTTTTGTAGTGCTAGTTTTATTACTGAAAGTAATAACTTCATGATGATAGTTTAATAATACAAATTAACCCTGGGGTTTTCTAGCGCTATCAATGATATTTACCTTCATCTAAGGGTTAGCTCATATTTACCTCATCTCATCATAAATAGTAAAATTTACATTAAGTGGTAAGTAAGATATTTTGTCAATTGAGAGTATAGACATCGGTAGCCTTAGCACGAACCAATATTCAATTCGAATAGTTTGTGAGTCCAAATTGTCATTGTCAAATGTGTACTGATTTTTAGTTCTCGTTACGTACTTTGTGGTGCTGTTGTTTAAGTTTTCATACAAAATTTGACATTGACATTAATATACAATAATATAGTATATTAATGTCAATATAGTATATGAATAGTTTGCAAGCCGAAATGTCAATGTCAAATTTTGTATGGAAACTTGAACAGCAGCGGCACAAAGTACGTAACGAGAACTAAAAATCAGTACATATTTGAGAATGACATTTCGGACTCGCAAACGATACGAATTCGATATTGGTTCGTGCTAGGGGTACTGTACCCCTAGCACGAACCACTATTGAATTTGAATAGTTTGCGAACCGAAATATCAATGTCAAATTTTGTATGGAAACTTGAACAGCAGCGGTACAAAGTACGTCACGAGAACTAAAAATCTGTACACATTTGACAATGACATTTCGGACTCGCAAACGATACGAATTCAATATTGGTTCGTGCTAGGGGTACTGACCATTTTTTATTCGGTTGAAGATAGTCAACACCATTATTTTGAGCATTCCACATGACAGTACTAAAGATCTTGTTCACTAGAACCAAAATCTAATACTTAATGATACCATGCAGTTAATAAGTAGGGAATTGTTAGGCATTAGCATTGTCATCCAACCTATTGTAAATTGAAAATGATCAAATAGTACCGCCACCGAAATCAAACCAAAAAAAAAATTTTGAAACCATGGTTTATTCAAGAATCAAATTTGTACCAAAAGCAATTTATTGCCAACAAATCCACCAAGTGTGTTATAAATAACCCTAACTACCCTAAATGCTAGAGTACACAGCCATACTCACAGATTGAACTACTTTCAGTAAATTAAATACTTATTACATATTATCTTAAAGACAAACAAGATATGATATTTGGTAAGTGTATGATACAATAGGCTCCCCAAATGCACGCCGCTGAGATCGATCTTGGGCTACTCGCCTCTAGCTCCTGCCAGCCACCTTGCGCAAATCGTCACTCCATCGCACCTGAGGACGTCCTACACTACGTTTGCCTAGACGCGGCTCCACTCCAGAACTCGTCTACCCCATTGGTTATCGATTCTTCGACAAATATGGCCAGCCCACTGCAACTTCAACTTGCTAATCCGGTGGGCTATGTCGATAACTCTGGTTCTGTGTCGGATTAATTCATTTCTGATGCGATCCTTCATAGAAACACCGAGCACTGAGGGCACACAGCCCTTTCCATAGCGCGCTGAGGAACTTTGAACCTGTGGACCAGCCGTACCGTGCATTTGGCGAGGCCTATGTCCAGCAGTGGACAAAGATAGGTTGTTGATGATGATACAATAGCGACTGTTCTCAGTAGGTGTTAATTGTTTTAATTTTTTTATATCCTGAATATTTTTTTCATAATCAACATTAAACATGAAATATCAGCGCTATGTTACACGGACGCAGATACCACTCGAATATTAATGATTAATGGAATTCATAACAATTTGTGTTTATTTATGATTAATGAAATACAAAACTCGTTTAACTTGATAAAATAGCACCAAATTTTTACTTTTAAAATATTCTTTTAATATCATTCTCATGTTTCTAAAAATAAAACCATTTGAAACATAAATAAACACTTATTACTCGAAACCTACGATGTTTTAAAGTTATACGTCATTGCTCAAAACACTATGAAGCAACGAAGAAGTTTAGGGCACAATCGTGTAAAATAAAAACACTTATCACATTACTGTACCGCTTTAAATACACATACAATTACATAGGTATTAACTATTTACAAAACAGTTTGTTAATGTTTATTTGCAATCAGACAATCCATATAAAAAACGTTAAATGCATTTTCTGTTTCTTTTGCATATAATGCAGAAACTAGTTATGGGATCAATTACATTTGGTCGTTAGCCCGTATTTGCGTGCACGAAAGACATAATCCAAATTCGGGCACCTGAAGTAATATTTACACTGTATTACGGGCTGGAAGGCGGTGTCGGGTAACTAAAACGAAAACTGCCCGAATACGGGCGTACTCGACTCCGTTTATTTAGACTTAGTCGTTTACCCGAATTCCATGGCACTCGTATTCGGGGTAACGACCATGTGTAGTCGCGCCATTACTAGCCGAAGTCGTCCTTCTGCTGCAATATAGTTCAAGTGATAGTGTGGAAGCTAAATTATAAATTTTGCTTCTATAAAGTTGAATTCGGAAGATAAAATAAAAACATTTTGATCGCTAAAATTTTGATTGTCAAATAGAGATTGCAAACAAAAGAATCAATTTAAAACATAATTAGGCAAGATTCAAATCTATTTTAAATGCTGTTTAAAATTACATCTTTGGTGTTATTATTTCTAAGATTATAATGCCATGCAAGTGAAGGATAGAGGAAGATGTTAAAAAAAAACTTACATTTCGATATTAAAGTTCATCAGTGTAAGAGGAAATAAAGCAAAAAAGTTTAAGTTATGTAACAAAAGGCACAAGATTGCCCGTAAGCCGGGATAAAAGGGTAAGGAAATAATTACTGTTTCTTATACTTTTTCAGATATCTTTGTCTGACGTTGAGCATTGATCTCATAGTGAGCCACTCGCCGAAGTTGCCGAAGTTGTCAGTCAAAAAGTCGATGGCGTTGAACAAAATATAATGTGGGAAGTAACCGGCTGTATCGCTTGTTGTTCCAACTAAACTCAGAGCTGAACTAACGAATTTCTTTGCACTGGGAGTCATTAAAGTCTCCCTTTTGAGTCCAGACATGTTGGAGACGACATATCCCGGGTTTACGCTTTGCACGATTATTCCTTTATCAGCGTACTCCGTATGAAGACATTGGGATAATTTCCGGACGTAGGCCTGAAACAGAAAATTGTAATTATAATATCAAAGCAACAAGATTTTATATGGCATTTGAGAATGTGAATAAATCGGATGGTACCTTGAATAAGATACACAGTCAGTATGTAGTAATTTTCTTATATTCTTGGTTAGTCTAGTACAGTTATCATGTCTTTATAATACGCTTTGGCTGCTTAGCAATATTAAAAATTCTAACGATATAAATTCAGTTCATCAATAAGTTACTATGAGTTGGGAAAATAATGTAACTGGGGTAAAATGCAATAAAGATGACATAACCAAATAAATAAATAATAACAAATATAAATTTAATTGAATAGAAATAGTTTCACTGGGCGTAAGTAAATGACAGTGACAGGGTATAATAAGGAAATTTTACTTATTTTGAAACATTCGTACACTCAAGCTATGGCAGTAAAGATCTACAATAACCTACTAAACCTTATTAAACACATATATAAAGAAATGGAATTGAAAACAATCTCAAATATTTTTTAGTAAGAAAGGCATATTATACAGTCAAAGAATTTTCAAATGATAAATTTTAATATCTTTAAAAGTACAGTGCACACATAGGCAAAGTTGTCTACCTACTCTTTCCTTTTATTTTACTGTTTTTTTTAACTGAGTAAGTACTTATATTATTTATAAGTTATTGCCAATTAATGATATAATAATGTATAAAAAATTATTTTATTAAAGAAAAGTGGTAAAGCTGATATATAAAAATATATTGTCATGCTCAATCAGAGCCCATACTGTTCTAAAATGTTAATGTAACAACTTTAGTTAACATATTATTATGATGATTAAATTGATTGATTGATTGATTTCTCAAGCCTTTGATTAAAGAAATCCTTAAATCTCATCATTTATATTTTTGAAATAGAACCTATTTGATTGTCAAAAGGTAACAATATCAAAAACTTATTGTTTATATACCATGCTACAATTTTTTATTTTCAAAATATAATCTCGTATAAGACTTACGTTTTTCTTTATTGATTACCAAATCAACCAATTTTACAATAAGCGTAATTCAAGACTAATTCAGGCAAGTACTTACCTTAGAAGCACCATATATGGCCAGTAGAGCGCTAGGGAATACAGCAGTGCCAGAAGAAATATTGATGACGACGCCTTTACCGCGTTTCACCATCTCTGGCAATACTATTGCGGTCATACGTGTTGCAGACACCATATTAGCGGTGACAAGAGACTTGAATTTGTTATCCCTGTAAACAAATGGAAGATGGTTAATACAGCAGCAATGTTACCCTAATTAATACCTTAGAGAGCACACGGTCATGAAATCTGGAAAGCATCGTTTAGGAATGAAAAAGACTCTCCTTATGTTAGACCATTTTTTTAAATGGAGTATGGTTCGCACCATACTCGAAAGGAAGTAAAAGGAAGAATGTGTAAACCATTCCTTACTTTAACCACATGAGTAATGAAAAGTATACACATGAGTAACGAAACGTACAGTTCGTAGTTTCTTAACTCATATGCTTCAACTGATGGTAGAGACCTACTACACAATAGTACTCATGACAAACTTCATAGCAAAATAATAGCCCATCCATCTTTCCACCTTAGTAACTGAGAGTGTGTGAAACTTGAAACTGTGAAATAACAAGGATCAGAAGTGTTAGTAATTATAGAATTACCAATAATGAGAAGCTGCGCTTGTAAGCCACATTAAACCTATCAATTAATCAGAATCAGTCGAATTATAAATTGATTTTGCTTTCACGATATCAGCAGCTTATGCGTTCTAATAGATAAAACATTTGTGCTTAGAAATCAGAATCAATTGTGGATAACCACATACCATAGGAAATAGCAAAACAAATAATTATTCACGCCTTAAAAAAATCCGTCCCTTTTTACTATGACCTATTAAATTTCTTAACACGACAAACGGACGTCCTGCCTTTGCAACAAAAAACTCGCCAATGGTTGACCCTGAACTTAGGAACAAGAAGAAAATAAAATAGTTTCTTAATATTGAAGAGTAGTTACTATATTTTCTTACAGAATTTAAATTAAGTAACAGACTTGTTAAAATTTTAATATAACTCCAAAAGTACGCGTTACCAAATCAGTAAACATCAAATAATTACCCTGGTCCTGATACTGTGAAATGAGGTGAGGCATTTATAATAAGAGAAATATTTGACACTGAGTTTTATGTAAACAAAAAAAATATATTGTCAATGTATTCTCGTGTGTAAACAAACGTCTTCAATATAAAAAAAAAATCTCTACTAATCTCTAAAATCTTACAGCTGCTGCTGAATTTTCTTCCAAATTCTAAACAAACAGTTATTACAAAAACAAGTACAGTGCAAATATAATAGTGATAAACTTCCAACAGATACAAGTGTGTGTTGTGATCCAAGGAACTACGCTCATCATGGATTTACCACTCCACTCTGCGCGCTTTTCAAGTAAGCAATTTAAACAGATGCGACCCTGATTTATCATTATTATTTTCCAGAATATTGTATCAGTGGTTTATTTTTGTGTAGATATCACAATAATTTCCAATAACAATTATACCAAGAAATCTGATAAAACATCTCGTGCAAATAAACAATTTGGAGAGAATTAGGCCTCAGCATAAGGAATATCTTAATTTCAAGTAAGAATGTAAGAGCCTAGACGATGTTATATAACTATTGAATTAATTAAGCTTGTAAGTAATTAGTTTAAGAAGAGACTTTGGTATGTTTTATTACTGGCTTTTTTTGTGAAACTATAAAAAAAAACTTATACTGATATGATATTGACATATTCTACCAAAAATTTTGATTTCGTCTGCTAAAGGAACGTTATCTTCAGATTACCAATTTAATGCCTTACACTCCTTTCTGTAGCATCAAATACCCTAAGATAAATTACTTTGTACTGTAACTTTTTAAATATACAGGGTGGCGCAAAAGAAATCAATCTATTGGAAGATGTTATAATTATTGCAAAATGGCGTCTTACGTAAATTATATTTAACATTTGTGAACTACACAGATGCAAAATAGAAACAGACAACTAATGGAGCACGATACTCCACAAGAGCGTGAATATGGTGTGGTTTCATTAAGACGGTGCAACCGCACTTCATTATGGAAAACATCGACATCGTGCTGTATGCACAGTTTTATTTTGGCGATTTAGAATCGTCTGCAAGATCAACCGAATTGACCGCCCCAGACTTCTTTCTTCGGGGCTGCTTGAATTCTTGCAATTACGCCAAAATGTCTCAGACTCAGATCACAGTTCTCAGAAAGTCATTCTCTAACAGCGAACAGTAAATAACCGGCAATCTTTGGGACATCATGGAAAATGTGATAAAACAAGCACAAATGTATATTACACTGGCGGCAGCCAATTGATGGTTATCATAATTTCCACTTTACAGAAAAAAAATAAAGATCCTTAAAAGATTTAAATCACTCAATTGCCACCTTGTATATAAATTCAACCATTGACAATCAAGTTTTATTATTCGACAATTGCGTAAAAGGTTCATTTCGGAAACTTCTTTATCAAAGTCTTTTCAATTAACTGCCTATTCCTTTTCTTGCAATATCGTTGCCTTAAATAGCATTTTGCTAACAAAGTGCTCTCATGATACGTTTCGGGTTATAATAAACTGCTTTCCTCAATCAATTAATTATCAATCAGTTACCTAAAAAAAAATTAGTATTCTTCGCAATAAAAAAAACTTTTCGTAAGTGCTCAATTCAAAAACTTAATCTACATATCACGGATTTAATTGAAATTTGTTTTGCCAACCCAAAAAAAGTATACGTGTAGACGCATTAGAGTTAACTTCGGCAGCCGTGATTATGTTAATTCTGGCGGTCGTAGAGGTTACGGCTCTTGGGTCCCGAGGGAGTAACCAATGAGCTACTGTTAACTTTCATTAGCCTTGCTCTGTTAGAGGTTTTTTGTAGAAGACGCTTTATTTTTTCAGTTCTATAGCTTTTTGACCGATTGTATGGAACACGTGTTCCTGACAAATATTGGGTTTGGGATGTTTTATGAAAATCTTATTTAGAATGTTAAAATTAATCATTGAACTTTACGTTACCATTAATATCTTATAAGTATCAATATCATAGTTTTAGTTTCAACATGACAAAACTTTACTCTATTGGGTTTTAGTTTCCAAAAAATACAACCATTCATAATTTCCCAAAAAGTTTTAAGGTACTGAGAGGTTAAAGAATGGCTGTGTTTTGAGAATATTGGGCAAATACCTGGCAATAAATTAAAAGCCCGTTTTAAAATACGCCATTGAATTTCACGTTATTGAATTTTCATTCTCTTTTTATCTCATTACCTTATTAGTAAACGATTGATCTTTTTGTTTTTGTATTTGTTTTATTTCGATTGTTCTGCCAAGTTTTAAGATAACCACATTCATTGATGTTATAAAGGCGGTACGAAGTTCGCCGGATCACCTAGTGATATTAATGGCATTATAATCTATTACATTTATTATTAGTTAAGTTTTCCTTTAGTTAAGCGTACGTGGTGAATTAATTTGACATTTATCTGTACGATTGTCGATTACAGTACCGCCAAAGCTATGTTTCGAAGCTATGAAAATTTGATTAACAAACCATGAATCTTGTCGTATTATGACAGCTATGTGTTGGTTATGACGGCCGTTAATCTAGTTGATGATAACAACATTGACATAGTAGTTAATGAACAGCATAGCTGAATAATATTTCAGTTGATTTTAGTAACAAATAATACTTCGTCTATATTTTTTAGAACCATTTTCAGTAGATAACGTGATAGCTTTAAGTTGTGTTTATAAAAGCTTGTATACTTTTGTATGCAATTATATAATGTGACCTGTCACTACAGTTTTCAGACAAAAGCTTTAACTCAATCCTACCATTGTAAAATGTGGTGTCGTGATTATATTTTATTAAAGTATTTATAAAAAATACACTTATAGCTACAAATATTAAACCATGTTATGGTGTTAATATTTTTACCTTTGATGCTCTATCAATAATGTAAAAGACAGGACATGTGACGTCAATGAAAAAATGTAAGAATAATAAAATCAGTTTTTTTTTTAATATTGGGTATTTAAATAACGTCTGTGGTTTATACAGTGACCATATTATCATATCATATCGAGCGGAAATCAAGATTCGATTTAAATTTTCGTTCAAGTGATGACGCTGCGGGTGCACCCGCCCGTATGAAATAAGCGCAGAATTGAAATATCTAACCGACATTAGAATATCTTCTAGGATATTAAGTCACAAACAGAAACTTTATTCGTATTAAGATTAAATATACATTTGTATAAATTTTGCAATACTATTCTTATTTAAAAATTTGAACATTCAAAAAACATAAGATACACATATTTGGGCAAAAGAAGAAAATATTCGAGATTGAAAAAATAAAGGATGCTTTTGATTGCAATAACATTTTTCTTACCGTCTAATCATTACGAAGTTCACTCGATAAAATCAAAAGCCAGTTTTATATTATATTACATTACAGATAAAAGTAAAAAGCTAAATCGAAATTTTCAATGTTGTCATAAGTCATGGCTATAAAAACTAGTTTATTCGTAGTAACTGCAAATTCTGGTACTAAGCTGGTTTTTGCAGTTTGAGCCACGTAGCTGCCGTTCGTCGGAAGGAGATTATCTGGAGAATTACCAACTGAAATAATTTCAAAAGTCTCTCATTGGTCTCCAGCTTTTGGAAGAGTTACTTGCGGATAAAGTAAACCATTACTAACATGAAATTTTGTGGGTTACAAATGGGTTTATATTTGTTTTAGTAATTCAACTTTGCAGAGAAATCTATCGAATCATTCACTTTCAAAATTGGATATTTATCATCCCTCCTTATGCATTAAACTAACAGATGTATAATGTCTCTGCTTAGCCCGATGGTTGACTGGTAGAGAATGCCATGTGGCATTAAGTCCGCCATTTGTTACAAAACAATAAAGAGTAAATAAAATAAATAAATGTACATTATAAGCCGTGTGTGGAACTCTTTCAACTATTTTTTTTTAAATGCAACTATCAGAAAATAAACGATGACCTTAATGAGACTAATCTTATATTTATTTATTTGCTATCATGTACAAATATACACAGGTATAGTTGACGATGCGGTTGAAATTTTTATGATATTTATACCAATGTTTTTCTACTTTTGTCCCTATGTCCACACAGGCTCGCTCTTAATATTCTGTATGGTACTCCATTTTTCTTATCAATCAATCAATCAATCAATCAATCAATCAAAATCATTTATTCAGTTTAGGCTGTTACAACCACATATGAGTGTCTAGAAGCTACGCCATCGGTTCGTAAATCTACGGCGGGAGACCTTGTACCGAGAAGAACCGGCAACAAACTCAGCAAGGGCTGTTTTTTTCTCCCTGTTTTATCATTTACAGAGTCGTCAAGTTGAAAGATGACTTCAGAGATGATTCAAGAAGTTTACATCTTAAATATCAAAGTAGTTAGGGCAGACTCATCTCCACTGGCAGCACTCGTTCACGAGCATGACGCATGAACCAGCCATCGCTTCGCTCAACCATATTTTAGGGAACGTAACGACCCGCCTCACACGACAAATATTCGTAAAAAAGAACGAATGCATCGTACCTGGAAAAAAATACAATTATCCTAGAGACTATGACGAATTCTCATTATTAAGAAAGAGGGTGAAAGTCTTGCAGTCACAACGCTTCTAAGATTAAATAATGCAGAAAAAAATATTAAGCATTCTGTAGTGTATACCTATCGGAAACGTAATTAGGTCATGTCGCGATCCGCTATTTACGTAGATAGTTTTAGCAAGTAAGCAATATTATTAATTCAATTATTTTGTAATGTTTTATTTCACTCAATAAACGGACTTCAAACTATAAACTATGTTTCCTTAAATAACCAACGATAGGCTAATATTACAATTCACCAAAACATTTTTTCATACTGAAAGCTAAAAAAAGCATTTCCAGCTATCCACAAAGAGTTTGTATTGGATAATGTTAGGTATGAAGACGGTATTAACATATGTACGGCGTTTAACAAGTTTTTTGACAATGTTTTTGCTGGTCCTACTCCGAATAATGGAAATAACAAAAACTTTTTTTTATGGTAGCGGGGACTTTTGGAAATTCAATATTTTGTTGAAGTTGAAGAACAACCTGGATTATAATTAAATTCAAAGAAAGGGGGGGGGGGGGGGGGGATAACTTCCCTGTGGTCAATAAAAACCATGAATTAGCGACTGTTGTGCGAATCCAGGGTGTTTGATATCAAATTCAGTTTTTTTTATTTATTTTTTAGGTTATCTGACTCCTCCCTCCCCCTGGGTGGATCCTCATCCCAAATCTGACTCGGGATTCGGATTTAGCGACCACACATTACTGAATGACCAAGTTTCTACGCTTGGATCAGAAGAGAAAACAAAAAAAATACACAACTGAGGGAAAACTCCGTTCAGAAATACAGCCAGACACGAACCATGTTATAGATTCCAAAGGTGTATAATAGGAAACTATCAATCACAATTGTAAACTATCAAAAACAATAAGGGCACATGAAATTGGTGAGAGGTTTTAATGATTCTATGTAATTTGTATGCTCCGATATCTGTCAGATATCCGACATTTATCTGTGCAATATTTGGCAGGCATCACTGAGTTCTGATTGTGGGACTGAAAATGTTTTCTAGTTAAAAAACTGTAAGACATATTTTCATTGATCATCGGTTTTCGGAACTGGCTTTCCCTATTGTGAACAAAAGAATTAATATTTATCGCATTATAAAATTGAATGGGATATAAAAGTGCTCATGGATATGAACTATAGAAACGATCTTTTATCGAATCAATATGGACGGGTCCATATGTACCTATAGTTAAAGTAATTTTAAAATAAAGGAATCTTGCTTAGGAGATGAATATTTTATTTAAATATTTGTTTTTTTTAAGTGCCTATATATAACTTAAAGAATTCTTGTAGGTTTAACCAGCAATGGATAAAAAAATCACACAATGGTCGCACTTATTTATTGAAGGGCTTAAAAAATTACTCCACCCCTACTGATATTTTGCTCTGAGGTTTGCTCTTGACCCATATCCAGCACGGGAGCAAGTATTTGGAAAAAGTGAAGTGCAGTGATGGTGATGTCAGTCCCCTGACGTCACAGTACTGATTTATTTGACACTCTTGAGTCAACCATCTTACTCAATTGAATGATGATGGTATGGTATGAATACATTATGATAACAAGCAGCCAATTTTTAATCCCTAAGATAAACTCAACACGGAGAGCTTTCCTGAAAAACAGCGCGAAATATAAGAGAATATAAACGAGTTTCTTGAAATAGCTAAAAAGAAGTTTCGAGTTCTTCTCACGAGACGGTTGTATTCATTTGAATTTCCAGCGTCCAGTGTGAAAGTTTGAAAATAAATTATGAATACCACTCTCAATTCCGATCAAACGAACGTTGAATTCACTTAGAGTTCGCGATTTAGAGCAACTCGTAAATTTCATAAGACTATGAGAGCTGGGAAATCGAGTTTATGGGCCAGTAAGCTCTCTGGGTTCATTTATAGGATAAGCTATTCCACCAATCGTATGCCTAATGAATTTCAAATCTTTATCCAATCCGATTTTACTATTGATATTGAAGGATTGTTTATCGTCTACTGGGTGTGGTTATATTATGATGAAGCGTCTTCATGTTGAATAAAACATTTTTGGAATGAAAAATTCTTTAGCATTTACTTCGCGCGTCGGGTATTTCTTAAGATAGGAGAAACCACTGAACTCGCGACACTGTTACCGAAACCTCTGTTTTTAATTTTGCCCAACGTTTTGGTCATATGCAACAAACACTCCTTCGAGTGCAAGAGGTCTTGAGTGCAAACCCGACGGGCATATAATTTATTTTTTGTTTACAATTTGCTTAGTTCCTTTTTCGGTTTTGTGATTTAAAATTTCATTTTTGTCAGTACTCCCGGAGTATCACCACCATTTTTTTATAACTAAGTAGAGGAGTCATATCAAACTAAGCCCATTATTCAGTCACAAAGGACTGGCAGCTTACTTTTTGAAACACAAAGGGGCTCGAGATTATAAACTATTGGTCAACTATACCCGACCCTTGTGACATTGAGACTTAACGAGTTACCGCCTTATCGAGATCTTGCTTTATTATTGAGATGAATAACAAACAACAACAAAAAAAAGTAAATGGATAAGAGAACCTACTCAAATTATTGAAACAAAATATCTCAACTGAAAATCAGATAGAAATATTTTTAAATATTTCATTCTTTCTATTCTAACACCAATTAGCTTGGCCCCAAATAAGCACTGTAAGACTTGTGCTATGGGATACTAGGGTAACGGATAGAATACATAAGCTGATACATAATACATATAAGTATAATTATATAGAAATACATATTAACATTATGACTTAGGTAATGCTCATATTCATCGTACAAATCTTTGCTCCACCGGACCTCTGAATAGGCGACACCCTGAAAACCGACGCACGTTCCCCTTTCGAGCCACGGAGTTGAAAATGTTTATGACGTTTTAGAACTGAATCTGTTATTTGTCAGTAAAAAACTCACCAATCAGGAATATCCAAAAAATATTCAGGGTAAAGGTAGGACACTCCAACATTATTAACGAGAGTGCCAATCTCCAATCCAGTGATGGCCTCAGCTATGCCTTCGTAGATGTCCTCACGATTGAAGTCTGCTTGTATGACCTTTGTTTGCACTTTGAATTCATTTTCTGCGAAAAAATTAAGAAGTGTTTGTAAAAGTTCAAAGGTGAGCATTATTGAATACTATGATAATAAATACTAATCAATACTATCAATAGCAATTTAATACTGATCCACCTTGTCTGATATTAAATGTGAGTGAATAAAATTTGATCTTGGTTTTCGCGATATTCATAGAAGAAATATGTGTTGCACAAACCATTTCTCTGCTTGCCAGATCGAAACCTGTTCTTCTATCTTTAGGAAGTCTTCATTAGGAACTACTTCTAGAAAACAATTCTCTAGGCAGGCACTCGCAATTCGACAGTGACTTTGAAGAACTACATGACTATATAAAACTAAAATAATATACATACCTATTTCTTCTGCTACAACTTTGAGCTTGTCCATAGAACGACTGACTAGAATTATATCACATCCTTTGGCTGCCAACTGAAACAATAAGGGTTTATCAGTAAAAGTTAAACGAAGCGAACAAATTGTAACTGTTTCTTCATTACATTGGTTAGTTACATAAAACATTTTCGGCTCATACTAATGACATAGTCTACATAGTAAGGATGATTGCAATAAATATTTATAATAAATAAATAAATATTTCTAACACTCATACCAATTAGCCTAGCCCCAAAGTAAGCAAAATAGGTCTGTGTTATGGGATAATAGGGTAACGGGTAGAATACATATACTAGTACATACACTCCGCGGCAGAAAAAGCGGTCAGGGCGCTTATTGCGATATTGTAAACAATCTAAACAATATTTATGGTAAATTTTAATGAGGGTAGGTGTCAAGTAGATAGTTTAGTTAGATGAATGAGTAATTTGAGATTAAGTTGTGTTTCATTCTGGTTTTTGTTTAACTGTAGTATTGATTTGTTGCCAAAGAATATAAGAACATGCCAGTTATAGCTACTCAGGTTACTTAAGCAGTAATGTTAACTGACCAGGGAAGAACTCAACGTAAGGTGGCTGCACTTCTGAACGTGCCACGTACCAAATTAAGAAGAGCTCTCACAAGGTACCGGGAGATTGGTCTGTACCCGTCTGTCACGGTGAAAATGACCGATTTATCATACTCGCTGTATTGAGAAATCAGTTTCTGACAGCTGTTGAGATCAGGCAGCGTCTGCAGGTGGCACGGGGATTCATTGTTTGTGAATGTACGATAAGAAGAAGGACGGTAGAACGTGATTATCGTGCGCAAAGACCAGCACGAGGAACACAATTGGAGAGACATCTCAGAGTTGCACGGTTGAGGTTTGCGCGTATTCACGCTTCACGAATACGTGAATTGGGCTCATGATCAGTAGTCCAAAGTGTTGTTCACGGACAAGTGTAGAGTGGCCTTACGAGCATCAGATGGTCGTGGGAGGCGAACGATTTCTTCCTATCACGACACGTCAAACCAAGGTGGGCCCGTAATGGTATAGGGAGGAGTGTGTTCAGAAGCGCGCACGGAATTAGTCTTTATAATAATAATTTAATTTATTTGCTAAAATACAGTTCACAAGTTAATACATTTTATAGAATTACATGTATTCTACCTGCAAGCAGATGTGCAAATATTGCATACAGCTATTTTGTCAACTGTCATATCAGGGGTATACAATCAAAGTTGGTAAAGTTTACAAAATTTTAAAAGTGAGATTTAAATTACAACACATTAATTTCCGTATCTGTATTAATTATCCAGTAGAATCATTTTATACAAATTCTAGGAATCTCGACTGTTATTTTAAATTGAAAATTGACTTTACCAATAAACGTAGCAAACGTCCAAGTGAGTTGAGTTTCAATTTGCGTAAAGTCCTTTTCGACCAAACCGAAGTCTCCATTGCCTCCATTTCACTGACAGCTGTCATGGCCGCCTTTGATGTTGCAATGCCCGTTTGTGGTGTTACAGTTACAAACTTAGTAAAGTCCAAAACTTGGTAACAAAACTGAGAAAGTATATCTTATACTTAATGTTTTACTCAAAAGTATTGAGCTGAACGTGATGAACACTTGTATTTCCATAATGTATTATATTCTGCAAATAAATAATGTTTAACATTAGAATAGTTACCTGCAATTATTAAAATAATCGTTTTTATCCTTTTCTGAACATTTTGGCAATGTGTACTTTACCAACTTTAATTGTATACCCCTCATACATTCCTTAATACTATATTAACATTTTGTTTGTGACCATTTAGTCAACTTATTTTTAAACATTGTTCCAGTTTCTAATTTTATATTGTAGGGTAATTTATTGTGAATCACCGTCTAACAGCGGTCGATTCGATCGACCTGCGATTGAAAAGATCGTCTAGATGATGTTCTGCTATTCGTGGGGTTTCTTGCTAATGTATGACAATGCAAGAGCCCAGCATCAATGCAAGTCGCCATTCCTTCCCCTTCCCTCTCTTCAGGGCACAACACTACCGCTACAGAGCAACATTTCCATGCTCGGTATGAAAGTTCGCTCAGACCTGAATCCAAAGAACTACATCGAAACCGTGATCAAAACAGCTTCACGCAAACTCGGAGTCCTGAACAAGGTGCGGCGTTTTTTCACGCCCGATCAACTGTGCTTGTTGTACAAAACGCAAGTGCGGTCCTGCGTGGAATATTGCTTGCACCTCTGGGATGGCTCCGCCAAGTACTTGCTCGATGCTTTGGATAGGTTACAGCGGCGCGCGATCCGAATCATAGGCGATGAGGAGGTGACTAAACAGCTTGAGCCTCTTCAATTACGTCGTGACGTGGCGTCACTAAGCGCGTTCTATCGTCTGTACCACGGCGAGTGTTCTGAGGAGTTATTCTCTCTTATCCCACCTTCCCCTTTCCTTCAGAGGACCACGCGCGCTGGCCTACGTTGTTATCGTCTTACTGTGGCTACAATTCCAACGCGTACAAAGAAATTTGGTGACTCATTTCTTTGTCGCACTATCAGTAAATGGAATGCTCTGCCCGCTCACGTGTTCCCTCCCTCTTACAACCTGGGATCCTTTAAAAGAGGCGTGAAGAAGCAACATGCAGGCCGGCAGGGTGAGGATGGCTGGTGTGGCAGGTAGAACTGCTGTGTCAGCTATCTTCGCGTCTGGACTTCACCTTCACTTAACATCAGGTAGGGTGGAGTCATTTGTCGGACCTATCTATAAAAAAAAAAAGTCGCGAGAAGCGTAGAATCGTCTTAAGATGGCCTGCCACCCAGACATGAATCTAATTGAGCATGTTTGGGATACACTTAAGAGACGCGTCCGAGCACTACCGAATCCGCCAGAGACTCTCCGTGAGTTGAAAACTGCTCTCACGGCTGTTTGGGAAGAAATTCCTCAAGTGGATATCAAAACCATACTGCAAAGCATGCCAAACCGCATGCAAGAAGTAATTGCAGCTAGGGGCGGCGACATACGGTATTGAAGTTTAAATTTTAGATCTAAAGACGTATTTTGTTTTATTTTTCATGAAAGTTTTGGCAAAATAATATTTTTTATTGACATTTAATTTTTGTATCAAATGACAGATACTTCCGAGTAACTTTAGACTAAAATTGACTTAAAAACGGATTCTCTCTTAAAATAATCGTTTATTTTACCGAAATTTATTATTATAATAATGTTAGGGCAATTTTTGTCCGCGGGCCACTTTTTCTGCCGCTGACTGTATATGTATTTTATATCATCATTAACCTATTAATACCCCCACTGTTTGGGCACAAGCTTTCCCTATAGGTAGAAAAGGGAGATAGGGCAGTGACCCACCGCGGGCCCAATGCGGATTTGTAGGTGCTAAAGACTTCAAATGCAGCTGGGACCAACGTGCCTTCCGAAACACAGCGAAGCTCGAGATAATTTGTTTTTTGGTCACCTATTCAACTTCCACGATCGCAGGCCGTACGTGCTTACCACCTCCATAGAGCTCCTCCAAATATCAATTAACAGAACGCAAAGTTTGCTGTTTGCTGATTGTGTGACAGGAGAAAATAGTTTTTTTTTCTCAATTGCCCGCTCAAATCCACCTCATTACGTGCACAATTTTTCACGATCAGAATTCAAGGCATAGTCGTTTCTTATGAATAAAATGTGGGACTATAATATTCGAATGGAACTCACGTACGCGAGGGGTGGTGAAGTGACGTGATTTTCCAAGTTTGTACACAGTGTGTGTGTATTTGCATTCGATATTTTACAGGCGGAGTGTATCGGACCTAGTTTCACATGGCAAATATTAATATTTGCTAAGCTGACGCTACGGTACCTATAGTCCGGTTGTTAGGTGCTAAGTTACAAAGGGTATTTTACTAGGACCAAATTGTAAATATGTCTTAATATTATTGTAGTTACTAAAAATATCGCATTCTGTAATAAGAATTCTTCCTATACCACTTTGCGATATTTTATGATAAAGTCCGGTTAAATATTATATACACTTCTGGACACATCTATTGGCCCACCTAGTATTTTCAGTTTCGTTTGGTCCTTGCTAAAATTTTATATTAGGTCGAGCAAAAAGTTTTATGCAGTTTTGAACCTGGCACATTCACAATTTCATTCAATAGTCTTTTTTTGAATTTCGAACACACAATTTAAAGAAACAAAAGACAATTTGGAGCCTGTTTGTTGATATCAAACAATCGAATACTAAGAAAACTTGGTTTTATTGGTTTACTTGGATTTAATTCTTGAAAAAGTGATTGATATCTTTGGTTTTGCAACAAACATTACTTATTCTTAACATTAAGGTGAGGTTCTATCAATAATCTATGGATACTTCAGCTGAAGTCGCCGCCCAAGCTGTGGCACTTATTCAGGCCGAACACAGCCAAGAAACGCGAGTGCTCAACTTAATTTAAGTCGATCTGCGGTCCGAAATATTTATCGGAGGTACCTAGAGACTGGCGGCTTTGTTCGTCGCCAAGGAAGGCCACGATCTCGGGTCACAACTGAAAGGCAGGATCGATTCATCGTGACAACCAGCTTGAGAAATCGTCACCTTACCTCCATTGAGATACAAAAACAAATTCGCGACTTCCACGGAGTATCTGTGAGCGCTCGATCTGTTCGGAGAAGGTTAAAAGAACGCGATATGGTACCACACAAACCAGCTAATGGGCCCAAACTAACGCGAGCCCACCGAACAGCGCGCCTTCATTTCGCACGCAGTCATTTAAATTGGACACAGCAAGATTGGAGCCGTGTACTCTTTTCTGATAAGTCTAAAATTGTGTTACATGACAATGATGGAAGGAAGAAGGTCTACCGACATAAGGGAAAGCGTTTCGCACAATGCTGCTTTGAAGAGAGGGTTGCTTATGGCGGTGGCTCATGGACTGTCTGGGGCGGTATATCCGCGAGCGGCAAAAGTCAACTTGAGGTTGTTACAGGACCACGACTGCCAACATTAAATGTTGAAAGGTACATTCGTGAGTGTTTAGAACCTCACGAGACTATGTGGGCCCAAATTTCCTTTTTATGCATGATAATGCAAGAGCCCATGCGGTCGGCATCGTCAGGGAATATCTTCAGGATGTGAACATCACAGTTATGGACTGGCCAGCCAGAAGCCCAGACATGAACCCCATTGAGCACATGTGGGACGAGCTAAAAAGACGTGTTAGGGCTCGTCAGCCAGTTGCCCAGAGCATCGTCTGGGCAACTGGCTGGAGTTGAAAACTGCCATAGAAGAGGAATGGGAGATGATCCCTCAAAATTGCATAGAGCGGTTGATAAACTCTATGCCTAATCGTATGAGAGCTGTGGTAGATGCCCATGGAGGCAACACGCGTTATTAAATTAAACCTTTATTTGATAAAACATGTTTTTTATTCAAAAATCAATTGCCTTTAACAAGGCGCATGTCCGACTTGTTAGGCGTAGCTCCATGGCGTATGGTATTCTGAATTCAAATTAAAAACAATACGATCGAAAAAGATGGTAAAATGTATCAGGTTTAAATCTGCATCAACAGTTTTTGTTCCATCTAGCAATCATATTTCGGTAGGGGCCATCGAAACCTAAACTCTAAGGTGGGCCAATAGATGTGTCCAGAAGTGTATATATAATATTATATGAAAACGAAGATAATTTTGAAACTGTAACACGAAATATTGAAATAGATTCCCAATTTAGAATTTCAATTATTTGCCTTTGTCAATTTGTCAACGCTAGTGTTTCAAAGTAACATTGTTAAAAGTTATTTTCTATTTTGACTTGTAACGTAATAAATTATTATTTTATCTTGATTCCGCGAGCATATTTCCAATAATTAATAAAATTTTGAAGTAGTTCTGTAATCGTCGGATTGGATTATAAAATATCGAGATATTAATTCAATTTCTTGAAACCTATCCAGTGAAACTTACATTTCGCATTTTTTTAGCAATATCAGGTAGTAAATAGAACTCTCATATTTCCACAGGTCTTTTATCAAGCCCCAGAGCTGGGTTCCAACAAAATGCATATTGCATAGCCGCGACCTACTATGTGATGACACGGTGAGTTTTACTGCTCCAATTTAGCATAAAATGCTAATAATAAGCATATTGCGAGCAGACACGTGTGCTGTGAGCAGGTAAGTTGGAAAATAAAGGTCTTAATATGTTTATTGTTTTTGGTAAAATTTATCAAGAGCAAGAAACTAAAATAAATTGACGCTAACCATTAACTAAAGTGGAAATAGATTGGGTAAATTATGGTTAGGTACGTCTAAAGAAAATAATTAGAGAATTCTTAAGACAAATTTAACAGTTTCATTTAACACGGAATAGATTTTAAAACAGATTTGTAATTGAACTTAGATTTAGCTACTCCTCATTATTTGAAAAAGAATATAGCTAGTAAATACCTACTTCATTATTGTACCTTTCCTTTTACAAGAACTATCACACCAGACTGCTTCTTTTCCCTCTCAGGAAGAAAAGTATGGAATGCTGCAGCTGCTAACTTCCGAGCATAATAAATCTATAGTAAGGCCGGGTATATTTAGGAAGTGAAGAGGCGCAGGTGCTTAGCGCATTCGGCCTGCGATCGTGACAGTTAAACAAACCGAGAACATTGTATCGGAGACGCTAAACATGTTACAATACTTTATGTTATTTACGGGATTGTTACCATGTACCTTGTTTTTAGCGAGTTCCGATATTTTGGAACTGTTGCAAAAAACACAAGCGTTGACAAATTGACAAAGGCAAATAATTAAAATTCTAAAATAGGAATCTATTTCAATATTTCGTGGTACAGTTTCAAAATTATCTTTGTTTCCATATAATAATATTTTATAATATTTAACCGGATTTTATCATAAAATTACGCAAAATCGAGGTACATGGTAACAATCCCGTAAACAACATAAATTACTGTAATGTTAGTGACAAAATGTAAATGTACGCCTTTTTTGATTTGGTACCCGCTTGAGTTTGAATATCGGACAGCAAAAAGACATCTTAAGTGCTAGGTAATAATTTTGACCAAAGACGTTGCTATGAAAACGCAATATTAATTATTTTTTTTATTTTAATTTACTCGCCAACTGCTCGAACCCGAGAAGCGACCAGGCATTTCCGATTTTGTGCCTATCAATCGACTTGATTTTTCCCTCACTCGCCGTTATTTCAGCTAACATTTATTTGGTATCGCTAATAAAAAATACTTTTCAATAAAATTTTCTTGGAATATCAATATCATATGTATGTTAGTCACTGACATAATATTCATAACGCAAAAAAATAAAACAAAATTATTATACACTTAGCACGGAGATTATTATTCAGAAATGTCTTTAAATTCGAAAAGATTTCTGTTTATGACGATTCAACGCTATATTGATTTGGAGATATATTTTGACTAGGGTTCATTCAAATCGTTAGGCTTTGTTCCCGGGAAATCAAGCTCGAGAAAAGTCGAGAACTCGAGAAATCATGTACCTTCTTTTCTTATGTAAGTAATTTGATATTAATTAATGTGTCATTTTGTGAGACGAATATTATTAATTTGAATTGCGATTGTTATAGATTTTACCGAAACGTCACTATAACAGTAAAGATGGAAGCATCAAAAGTACGGAAATATTAAAAAAAAAGGAATTGCAAATGCGCAATGCCTAAAGTGCCCAAAAACCATTGCTTGCAAATGTTCAAATACTAGAACATAGAGCGAGTATAATTATGAGTCTGAATAATATTATTTCTGTATTTTTTTAAAGTTAAATAGCTTATTCATAAGATTAATGTTTTTGAATATAATCAATAAAAGTTTTATAATTAATTTGATACTTATTTTTGAGAGGATTTGTTGAGATTATTAGAACCAAATAATATGAGAAAACGTACGTAAATGTAAATTTCTCGACAAACCGAAAAGCCTCGAGAAATTAGCCTCGAGAATTCTCGAGACCCGAGAAATTGAAAAGCTCGAGAAATCATGAACCCTAATTGCGACCTTATTTCAATGTGAATGTTCAAACCACATTTTAAAAAATTTAACCTAAATTAAATCATCTGACTGCACACCGGTTTTCAAGCTGTCACTTACTGGAATGGAATCCCGGTGGGTTAAATGTTTGTATGATAGTTACTGGTATTTGTATAGCCGTTAATATAATATTTGTACAAAATATACTGATCTATGTAACATTTTAAGTATTTATGTCCGGGCTAGGATAATAAGTGGTGTGTGTGAGATTTAATTAATTTATACATTATTACTAGCGACCGCCTGCAACTTTGTCCGCGTTAACTTTCATTTTATGAGAATCCTATAGGAACCTAACATTTTTCTGTAATTTTTGCGTGATTGAGTAAAACCATACAAACTCTCACATTTAAAATATTAGTAGGATTTTCTTTGTAGCTTAAGATAGTTCGATGGTTCTGTATTTAACAAAAAAAAGGAAGGTTATGAATATTTCTTTAGTGTCTTAAAAATTTTCATTTTCTTACCTGTCTGGCATATTCCTTGCCAATTCCATCGGTTGATCCGGTTACCACTGCAACAATAAAAAATATATGTAAAACCCGAGCCAATATTTCTATTATATTTTTTTTTATATTTTTGTGGTGGAAATCTTCCATATAGGATTTCGATAAAGTTTATGAGAGTTTAAGAGTGGTAGTGCATAGCGGATTTTCTGCTCTTATTGGAGCGCCACTTCCACCTTACAGAAAGTGAACACAGTAAAGTAACACTACCTTTCGGTGGTGTTGTGTTTCTGTCGGTATGTAAGGTTTCAGCTCGCCACGGGGTATGGGATTGGTTGGGTCAGTGTAGGCAACGGCGCGAGCGATATTTTTTGTATCGTAAGCGACTATAGGCTATGGTGTTTACCATTAGGCGTCGTCCTAATTGGCAAACGATCGTACGATGACACGATGCGTTCTTGTGTGTGAGGAGCTCGATGGCGCAGGTGGCTAGCGCGTCCGGCTGTGATCGTTGAAGTTAAGCAACTTTCGTAGTGGTCGGTCATTGGATAGGTGACCAAAAATCTTATATATCTAGTTCCACCGTGCTTCGGAAGGCACGTTAGGCCGTTGGTCCCGGCTGCATCTGTAGTCGTTAGCGCCCACCAAACCGCAGTGGGCCTGCGTGGTGGATCTGATCCAATCTCCCTATTTTATCCATAGGGAAGGCCTGTGCCCCAGCAGTGGGGACATTAATAGGCCGATGATGATGATGATGATGTAGAACATCAACTACGATCTTACGATCTACGATCAACTTTATGTTTGAAAATCAGCGCTGATTTTCAAACATGAAGATTTCTTCAGAGGTGTCTTATTTCTAATACAGCTCGTTAGCAGCACAGGTACATTATTTTCATCGCACGATGAGATCGCATCGCGCCATCGCACGATTGTTGCCAATTAGGACGACGCCTCAGGCGGGCAATATGATTGTTTGCCTCTCTTATAATATCAAAATATGTAAGGATCATATTTAGACCAATTTACTAAATAGCTTTAATAAAATTTTAATCTATTGTATTATTCTGATGTATGAATTACATCACTGTGAAGTTTCATTAGTTTTTACGTGAAAGAGTAACAAACATACATATCACTTTCGCATTTATATATTAATAGGATAGAAAGTAGAATATTGGAATTTATGACTATTTAGGTATTTATTTCATATTATTCTAAGTTAAAAAAACATTTTCATTTATTATATTTTCGAGGTTGCCATAGAGATGCAAAATAACAGTTTTTTTTTTCTATCCTGAAAAGAACATCTTTTTTCACGAGCAGAGAATTCAAACTATCTTTTCGTGTGTCTTTTTTCAAAATATTGATACAAATAATAAAAATGAAGTTTAAAACATTACATCATTGGGCCGGATACTATTAACGGAATACGATTTTTTTTTCAGAAAATAGGGACTAATAATTATCGTCGACCTTAAAATTGTTAGTTATGTAAAATAAATATGTATTGTTAAATAATAACCACTTTCTCACCGGTTTGCCGTTCTATTAGTATGCGATGTGATAATCATGGTAATTTCGTTCTTATTTGTCTACTTCCACGATGCAGTTTGCCGTGAACTTGGCCAGCGTTGAAGTGAGTGAAAGTTGAATGAGTCAGCTGTTCATGAGCTGTATATTGAGTGGACACTCGAATATCAACTTTAGGGCAGTGGTCAAAGGTTCAAATTTATATATTATAGCCGTAAACAGGTGATGATCATGTGTGTCAACAATAATATTTGACTTTTGGTAAACATTGTCGCATTTAAGCAATAGATAAAATAAATCGGTTCCCTTAGGACGAACCAATATCGAATTTGTGACGTTTGCAAGTACGAAATGTCATTTCGAATTTTGTTTGGAAACTTGAACAGTAGCGCCACAAACGACGTAACGAGAATTAAAAATCAGTACACATTTGACGTAGGAATATCTACATTGAATTCAACTATTCGAATTCGATAATGGTTCGTGCTAAGGGTACTGGACACTGTAAAGCCATTTCAGCTATCTTCGCGACTAGACTCTACTTATATTTAATGTCAGTGGGTCTAAAATAGCAACATTTTTTTAAAGTGAAACTTCTTTACGCACGCGTGACTTGGGGTGTAAGCTGGCGAATGCGTTACGCGTTACGAAAAATGTGTTCGGGCGAGGAAAACGGGAGTTGAGAGGGGGATATAAGCAAGAGAAATCAGTGCGCGCGCACTGACATCGACATTCTCGCTCCGACCGCGGACCGTGCGCCACGTCGCACCGCCGCCTCCCTGCTCCGTGCGCCCCGCCGCACAGCTGCCTGCTCCGAGTCGACTCGACGCACCTGCGCTCATACGTGAGATTCAAGATTGGACCAGTGGATACCTAGCGGTGTTAACGAAACTGGTCGGCGTAGCCCCGGTACGTCTCGAGCTCTCCTGAGCTCGGAAACCGGAAGACCCGATCCCATTTGCACTTGGGCCTTCCCAAGGGTGACGGTTGTTCCCATATTCGCTAGGAATATCGGAACACATCTCTTACAGCTTCAACCGACCCCCTGCCGCGGGCAGGGGAGTCCATCGGTGTCGCATAGGGTGTTAGGACCTGTGGCTTCACGCCACAGTCAGGGCACACCTACACACTACAACCTACACAACCTACTCATACCTACACACAAACACATCACAATGGACATCACACAACAAGTACTGTCCCTCTTCTCCGCCCTCGGCCTCACCCTGGATGAGGCCGCCATCAGGGAGCTCGTCGCGAGAGCGCGCCCCATGCGCGACTCGCCCGCCAGCCCCTCCCCCGAACCCCCCCGCCCCGACACCCCCTGCCTCCAAGGGCCCTCGAGCGCGGGCAAGCGCCCCGCCTCGAGCCCGGTCTCGACCTGCGACTCTGACTCGACCATTGTGTCGGCGTCAGACGACTCCGTGTTCACCACTGTGGTGAGCAAGAAGAAGCGGCGCTCCAAGCGCCGCGCAGACACCGCGTCTCCAACGGCGCCTTCTCTCTCTGTCCCTCTCAGCCCTCTCACCCCTCTCGCGGTCGCCCAACCGACCACACAAACCCACACAACATCACACAACACTACAAAACCACACAATAGGTGCACCGCCGCACCTATCAAGGCAAAGCCGCCGCCGCCCGTCTTCCTGCGCGATAAGGCGCAATGGGCAAAGGTCGCGGACCCTTGCAAAGCTCAGAACATAAATTACACACAGGTGTCGAACACTGGTCACGCCATTAAAATCACCACACCCACAATCGACACATTTAGGAGCCTCACAAGGCTACTAACCACTCACACAATCCCTTACCACACATACGCCCTCCCCGAGGAGCGCAAAGTCCGCGCGGTACTCAGAGGAGTCCCCTTCGAGCTCTCCAACGAGCTCATTCTGAACGACTTAACCGATAAAGGCTTCCCAGCCGAGGCAGTGCACAAGTTGCACAGCCGGACTGGGAAGCAATACCCGTTGGCTCTTGTCATTTTGACCTCGGTCCCGGCAGCTAGGGATATTTTTAAAGGTCCCATCACAGTCTGTGGCCTCGACAATATCAAAGTCGAGGCCCCACACCGGCGAGGCACCCCTGGGCAATGCCACAGGTGCCAATTATATGGCCACGCAGCAGCCAACTGCTCGGCGGCCCCGAGGTGCGTCAAGTGCCTCGTACCCCACCTCACTAAGGAGTGCACCCGCACTCGTGACGCACCCGGGGCACCCGCATGCGTGCTCTGTGGCCAAGAAGGCCACCCGGCCAATTACAGGGGTTGCCCGCGGGCCCCACGCCCCAGGCCCAACACTCACACTCACACAAAGCCAACCACGGCGACAAAAACACACCCACCACCACCTAATAACACCACCACAAACTTCCCGGGGCTACCCAAGGCGGCCGCCCCTCGCAGCCCGGCGCCCCCGACAGCCTGGGGACCAGCCAGGGCCCGCCCAAAACCACACCCACCACAACACACCACACCAACAACACAAGCTAAGCCAGCCCAAGACGTCTCTCTGGCCGAGGACATGGCGCTTATTCGCTCCTCGCTCAAGAGGGTGAATATCGCCGAGATCCACACTCTCGCCGCGAAGCTCCGGCTAGCAAAGACACCCCTTGAAAAGGCTATAGCTATAGCCGAACACCCCGAACTCGTTGCCGCGTTCGATTAATTTTTTAATCATTATAACACTGGGAAATAACCAGACTCCGAACACAAACAAAAACACTATACACAAAACACGCGGTGATAACTCAAACAAACACCACTGTTGTTTAAATTATGACCGCGCAAAACACTAACATAACAATCACTCAACTAAACCCCGGGCGTACCAAGCCGAAAGGCGCTTCGCTTGTGTCATTTAATACGCGCAGCTTAAAGTCCAACCTTAACGAAATTAAATTATTTTTGCAAGATAGGGAACCCGACTTTCTGCTCCTTCAGGAGACTTGGCTCAAACCAACTCAAATGAAGGGGCTGTCGATCCCTAAGTATAAATTAATCCGGAACGACGGTGCCAACGCGCGCGGCGGCACCGCAATTTACTATAGACGCAATTTACACTGCACACCTATACCCACTCCCGCGCTCACAAACATGGAAGCCACCATCTGTAGGCTGGCGATGACAGGACACCAGTCCTTAATCATCGCCTCAGTCTACATTAGATCAGGTACACACCCTCACCGCGCAGACTTCGAAACACTCACTTCACTAGGTACATCAGTCATAATGTTCGGTGACTTTAACTCCAAACACACCGACTGGACATGCGAGACCACCACCACCTCTGGCCGCAGATTACTACACATCACCGAGGAGCTTGGCTATGATGTCATATGTCCCTACGCGCCCACCCACTACCCAGACAATGTACAAAACCGACCCGACGTCCTGGACTTCGCGATCCTTAAAAACGTGTCGCTTCGCCTCAGCTCGATCGAAACACTCGACGACCTGGGGTCAGATCACAGACCGGTGTCTCTAGTTCTAGGTCCCCAAGACCCACTAGACGCCCCCGCGCCCCCTAAGAGGCTA